CCATCCTTTTAATTACTCAATTCATAGGAATGAGACAAGATGAATAGAGTATTATCCATTGACCCATATAAAGTCCTTTCACAGGAAAATAACACGTGACTAGTTTTTGAATGGATTAATTTTAATATGTGAGTTTTTTAGTACGTAATTTAATGTAATAAAGGTTTATATTAATCATTATCTGAAAAATGGAATGTGTTTGCATTGGTATGTGTATGTAGGTGTAGATTTGACTTTTATCGATTGGATGTGTTTTTCATATTATGATGGAAGTAGGTATGAGGGTTATATATTAGATATAAAACATGTAATGTTATGATTGGTGTGAGTGTGAGAGGTTTCAAATTGTAAGCATTCAGACATAAACGTCTAATGAATACAAAATGAAATCTCTTATTTTACTCATTTGAACAATAAAAAATAGCGATGCCATCGTTATACGCCCATATTTGTAATGGCAGCGAATTTGTCCGGGAGGTTGACAAGAGTTATCAGTAAATGAATTTTTCTGAGAGTGAAATTTTCATATTTCATGGGTTTTGTTTACAGCTTACAATTCAAGAACAAAGGCAACAACTCATAGTAAATATTTTTCGATTCGTCTGATTTTCAATAGGGTTCATCCTTGGGTGATAACACTCACACCAAGTTTCGTCGAAATCCATCAAGAAACCACCTCTCTATCGTGTGGACGGACAGACAGGGGCGACGGCTATATAGGGTTTATCCTTGGGTGATTACAAACACTCACACCAAGTTTCGTCAAATCCATACAAGAAATCAGCTCTCTATCGGGTCCACAAACAATTTAAGAAAAAGGGCAATAACTTATAGTAAATATTTTTCGAATCGTCTGATGTTCAATATTTTGACTGTAAATAACGAATATTGTGTTGCTTTTCTGATATTGTTTTACAACGTTAGGTAAATGCATTAAAATGCATATTTGAATATAAACAAGATTACACACTTACTTGATCTAATGAAAGCTTTAGTTCTGCCGATTGCTGAGTCCCTGCCAATACCAGATCACGACTGGAGTCGTGCATACTTAAATCGTTAATATACAGACCAGCCTCAAACATATCATCTAAGCTATTCATTCTGTCAAGTACAAATGAAAAACAAAGTTTTAAAAGCATAAAGAAATGTAATACTATTAGACACTGGCATTACTGACACAAATTTCTTAAAGTAAAATTTTCTTATCAAATCTTTAAATTTACTCTAAATTATAAACTTGAGTAAATTCCAAGGCCACAAACATTTGCTGAAAACAATTATTTACTCAGCCTGATATTCCAAATTTTCTTTACTCTAGCTATATTGTTTTCTAGGTTTGTTTGTGAGTCTTAATGTGACAGGATGGACTATAGAAACTATATAAAAACATAAAGGTTACCTTTATTAAACCACTCTAATGGCATAGACATAAATGTATTGTTATAAAATTTCTATGGTAAAATCAAAATGAAATCAAATTCAGCTAAATTTCCATTGGTTGAGAGAATAGCGGCTTTAGTCCTTTTTTACTCAAAGTGAAAAATTGCTCCCAATTGAAAATAACCCTGAGAATTGTTTATGGCCCCCTTTTTTTAATTACTTCTCAACTGAGTAAATTCTCAGATTTCTGACAAAAGTGAGTTGTTGCAGTTTTATGGCCTATTGAACTATTTCGTTCTTCAGGCAGGGGAAATAACGACAAAAAAAAAACACAATCACTATTGCAGATAATAGTTAGACATTATGTCAATTACTTTCAAATACAGTGAGTGTGGTCAAAACTCAATAAGGTGCATAAGTGTATCAATAGTGTTTGGTGTCACTGAGATAACACTATTTTTGGGGTATTTGGGGTACAACCTGACCAACAACAGAAACGACCAGCCAACCAGTCCCCACTAATTTCGAAAGATACGTCTTTGTCTTTAAATGAATTAAGGATCGAACTGAAGAAACGAGGAGCGAAGTTGTTCGGAAGAAAAATTGATTTAGTTGAAAGGTTTGTATACATTTTCACCTGTTCAACACTCAAAATCACACTTAACACGTGTCTCCGCTTGATGGTATTTGACAGGTCACACTTGTTGACGTCGTGTTGTGTGTGGTGAGATGTCGGCGCAGGGCCATTTTTCCGCTTTTTTGTTCAACAAGGCCTAAAACCAAATGCATAATTATTGATATCGTCTTTTATTACTTTTAAAAACTTCCGATTATAATATTCTATTGGAATTGGTAGATTTCAAAATTCAAATTTAAATTCATATTCCTTTTTTGTTTATTGGGCTTTATATTTTAAAGAATTTATATTTACTTCTCTAAAAGTTGTATTCATTGTCAATGTCATTGTATTTTCTAAGATCAGATAGCTCAGGGGTTAGAGCACCAAGTGATTTTAATGTTATGTTATCAATCTGGGGGTCCTGGGTTCGAATCCCAGTCTGATCAAGATTTTATTGTTTATTTGTGTCTCGTGTATGCGGAATGTTAATTAAGTGCATGCAAGTTGTATTTCAGATGCTAGATAACAGTTATTCCTGTGAACTGAAATTAAGATGATGATTGAAGGAACAGATGAAGTTTAAGTATTGTAGATCTATTTCACAATTCACTTTAAATACCGGTATCTAAATATTACAATTTAAGGTCCAGAGATTCAGAAACTATTCAAAATTGTGATGCATAATTTTTGATCAACTGAAAAATACAAGTGATATGTACCATATGACATATGTATTTAAATATTTCATATTTGTAGGTTAGAAGCATACAGGAGAAATTATAATTTTGGTCGGAATGATTTGATTAATGCTGTGGAATATAGAGTTTAAACACCAATAGATGATTTATATAGAGATATCAACAGCAATACAGAATTTGTACATATTCGTTTGGAAAATGTTACTTCATATTTATCCCTCTTTGATAAACATTTTGATCAAAAATCAAAACTTTTGTATCATGAACAATTTTTGAAATATGTCTGAGTAACTAAAGTAGATGATCTTTTTTATGTAAAGTCTGCATGTTGTACTGAAATGAAGAAGTCCTGCTCTTATGTTAATAATATATGTTTTGACAATACAGGATCCATCGTAGAGAGTGAATGTGAATGTCCTGCAGGAATGGGAGCAAACTCACACTGCAAGCATGTATGTACTGTTTTGTATGCTTGTGTTGATTTTTCAGAAAATAAGACCATTAATACACAGGAAACTTGTACACAAAAGCTTCAGACATTTCACCACTCCAAGAAATTCACTGGTTCTCCAATAAAGGCTGAAAATCTAAATCTTCTAGGGTGTGACCAGACATGTTTTGATTTTGATCCAAGACCATTGGAATTTCGCAATCAAGATTCTTATCCTGATTTTTTTCGAAATGTTTGCCTTAACCAAATTTTTTCTCCACAGATGCCTATATTTCAGCTGTATCCTCCTGTTAATTTTCTAGCAGTAGCACATGACCATGATTACTTATATAATTCTCCAGAAGATATTTTTCTTTCACTTATGCACATTTCTCATATTAATTCACTAATTGTTAAAAGTATTGATCAGAATACAATTGGCCAGAGCAAGAACAAGTTATGGTTTCAGGAACGATCCAAGAGAATTCAATCATCAAACTTTGGTAGAATTTGTACTGCCACAGACAGAACTAATTTTCAAAGATTGGCAGAGTCATTGATAAAACCATCAGATATTAGAACAGCACCAATTCTCCATGGGAGGAAGTATGAAGATGCTGCAATTAGAAAGTACAAAGATATTTCTCAAAATAAGGTCACAAGATGTGGAATCTTTGTTTGTGAAGAGTTCCCGTTCTTGGCAGCATCACCTGATGGGTTTATCAATGACTCAATTGTGATTGAAGTTAAGTGTCCGTATGTTGCCTAGGATAAAGTTATATCAAGTTCATCTGTTCCATATTTACATGAGGATAATGGTTCTTTTAGTTTAGACAAAAAGCATAGTTATTTTTTTCAAATTCAAGGGCAAATGTTGTGTTCCAAAAGAAAGAGGTGTGATTTCATTGTTTTTACTCTTAGGGATATTAAGATTATTAGAGTGGAACGAGATGACGAATTTATATTTTCTATGATTAACAACCTACAGGAATTTTATACTAAGTTTTTTAAAGAAGCATTCCTCAATGAATTTTTTTATAAGCCGTATAATGGCCCCATTTACTAATACATGTATTTGCAGTGATCTTTTGTGAAAATTTGCATTCATTTACCAATGAACTACAAATGCCCTTCGTGATATCCAATGACGTTCGTTGTAATGACTCAGACTCCTAGTTTGTGTTGAATATTTAAGCTATTTGTTTGTCTTATAGATGAACTTTCAAAAATGTTTTTTCATTCGTTTCTGAGAACAGACACTGATAGCATTAATTACATCATTCTAATTTTCAATCAGATGTCTGTGGTTCTTGTTAAAGAGATTATAAAGAGGTTTTCTGAAATTTTTATGTGTATCAGGGTCACTGATGGCATCAAGTCCTAATGTGATACAGGATATTTTGCAATTAGTTAAATGGAATTGCAGGAACCACAAACATCTGATTGAAAATTGGAATAGTGCAAATCAATACTATCAGTGTCCCCGATAGACATAAAAAATTTAGAATCTTTACAATCCCTTTGAAGTTAATTGACAGGAGTTGTGTTGCTGTTTTTCTCCACTCTCTACAATCGTTTTAGTATTGAAAAGAATTAGATTAATAAATTTTCCAGTTTTCACTTGATGTATTTATATTTATATAGCTTACAAAAACATCTACATATAAGAATAATACATAAGTAATTAGAATCAAGCAGAATCGGGTACAATGCACTTTCTAAAATTGCACAGAAAAAAAACATATGAATATTATTTTAGAAGAAAGACTTGTTTCTGTGCTGTTTAATTGAGACTTTAAAATATTAAATGTTTTTCCTAGACCTATAATCCTCTCAATATGCACCCGTTTGCTTGAAATACGTCTATCTTTTAAAACAATATTACCTGAAAGTCTGTTTTTTTCCTAAAAAATGAAGGAATGTTCACTGTAACATTTTTGGGAGCAAAAATATCCTGAACATTAAATCCCTTATCTGCCATGATAGAGTCACCTGGGTTACACATAGATACAAGACCCCCTCTTTCAATAATCTGACGATCACTTGTACTACCTCCATAAGCTTTTGTGATATCAACAATTAAACCTGCAGGTGTTGCTGAAACTAAAGTTTTTACAGTATTTTGGTTTTTATAAGTTGAAAATGTTGCTTGTTGTGTTAATAGGGGTTTAGGTTTTTTAATCGGTATTTCGGTTCCATCAATAATACACCTTGTGGCTGGAAATTTAGATTTAAAATCCTTGGGAGAATAGTAATATACAACTTCTCTAGGTGGCCATATATTCAGCTCACTCCATTGTTTAAACATAAAACAAACCCAAGTAATAAAAAATATTTGAAACAGAAAATTCTGAAATTACAAACATTCTAGACAATTCAAAATTAGTTTTGTGCTGACGAAGGTTAATATGAGTCAGAAAAAATTGATCAATAGCTGGTAAAATAGATATAGTTCCAGAGCTGTGAACAGCACGTAGATGGTGAACAGCAGCTCCTAATGACTGAAAAACCATTAAAAATTTTGCATAAAACTCTAAACCAGTATAAAAATGAATTCCTGCTGAATCATCTTTAAAATTTTCTGAAGAGAAATAATATTGAGTGGAAGTGTTTGTGTTGCAGTTTCAACAGTTTCGGCATTAACATTAACTGGGATTTGAAAATTAAAATCATCTGAAATTGAACGTTCTACAATTACATCATCTTGTAAACATATATTGTCCATACAGTCATAAAATATATCTTCACCAATATCACCAACAACATTGCTACTAGAAATGGTATTACTTCTTCTTTCTATCCGTTTTCTTCTTTCATCACTTCCATTCCTTACTTTCGTCCATTTAAACAAACTTGGTACAGCTGTTTTTTTTTCAATCTTTTGCAACCTGATTGTATACCTGAAAAAATTTTAAAACAAATTTTAAATGACTGAGCTTATCCTAATCAATATACCTGGTATATAAGACAATACTCTAATGGAACAATGATTCTGAATAGGGTCCAATAACAAATTTGAAAATCCCTGTGTGTTTTTTTATCAGCATAAGTCTAACAAACACTCCTTTTTTGTACTGTAGGTTATGTTATAAATTCAATTTCATATGAGAAATAATAGTAGGTTACTCATGTATATTATTGTTATCAAAGGCCTAATCATATTCACCATACACATAGGCATAGCCCTATCAATATCATGTTCCATCACAAGAACTATTAGTTTAGACTTAGGGGTAGATCTAGGTCTATTTAATTTTTCAGTTCGATGTAGGTAGGCTACATTATATTACAGACAAGACTGTACGAACAATAATCAATAATTCTACCCAGAATATGCCTTCCCGTAACTGTATTACATGAGCAAATGATGCAAAGATAAAGTTTTTCGCAGAAAATTCAGAAACATAAAGTTTGTTTATGAAACAAAAAAGGTAAACAGGAAGTGTATTATATTACGGACTGACTTTTTACTTATGGAAAAGTGTTTGATTGAACAAATAGACCACTAAATGGAATAAACTTTACCAGAACGATAGTATTAGCTAATATTGAATCTAATATTGATTATTGCTCCCAATGAACAGTGACACTGACAGAAAAATTGGACTTACCACCATAGAAAGGCGTAGATATGTAGTCGTCCCGGTCAAAATGCTCTGAACATACTACACTGTTTGTTGTTGGTTTCCACTTGTCACGCTTTATGGCTATGATCCATTTCTTTCGTAACCCCTCATCCTTTGGAAACGAATGTCCTCCTCTGTTCGAACATAGTGGCACAGAACAACAACGGGACAGCATCTAGTAACTACTAATAGCCGAAGCTGGGTAAACTATTTCTGGGTCCGTGTCGCTCGTAGCGCCGTCTATCTTGTCATAAAGGGAAGTAACTTGACTCTGACGCTCAAGTTTTACGATTTCACCGAATTTGCTCAAGATATTCTGATTTCAACCAAGCCTGTACGATTGTTTTCTCAATACTGAAAGAGCGTGGGTTTTCTAAACGAATTAGTTCATCCATGGCTGGATACAAATACAGGTATATCCAACTTGAATTGTTAGTTCAAGTGGTCACCATGGATTCCAGAGAAGCGATCATCTCCCAGATTTTCATTTTTCGTAAATGCATTTGGTGTAAGTAAGCAGTGGCTATCAAGTCGTGAATGCGCTCATCCTTTTCCATTTAGAAAATCTGAGAATTCCACCTACCATTTCTCTCCCTCTGAAATTCCATTAAAGACTAAGTCTGAGTACATTCTATTGAGAACCACATTATCAAGAGGTGCATTTTTCTGAAAATAACACCAACTCCCCTCCCCCACACCCCTCTCCTCACCTCCAATGGGAAATGACTTTGTTTCATTGTGGGACTTTGCTTTCGCTTTCGATTGATCTGAAATTTTAAATGCAAAGAGAGTTGACAAATGTAAATAATATGGTACAGTCAAATTTTGTACTTCATTTCCGCTTTTAAACAGGAAAGCATTTTTCGGTCGATTTTATTCGGGTTTTCGTTTTTACAATCTACCTGTAATTTCTGACCTGATAGCACTTGTTACGAATTACGATATTCGAAAATTCGTAGCTCACTTTTTTCGATCAAATTTTTTTGCAACTTTTTTGCTTTTGCATCGATTGATCTGAAATTTTAAATGCAAAGAGAGTTTACAAATGTAAATAATATGGTACAGTCAAATTTTGTACTTCATTTCCGCTTTTAAGCAGGAAAGCGACTGAATTTCAAATCTACTTCCGGTTGAATAACTTCCTGTGTAATTTATGTAGGTCATCAAAATTTAGCTGATTTTTACCAAATGAAATTCTATGGCCCATTTTAAAATAAAATCAAGACCGGAAGCGATACTTCGGCTGCCATATTGAAAAAACACTTTTGTAAATCGAAAAATGGGGCCTCTATGAAGAAATGGACGTGTATAATTTTGATGTTTAAGTAAACTACAATCGATTGCCAACAAAAACTAGGAAGCCGATTTTTGAATTTCGCTTTTCCTTTTTTGCAACTTCCGGTTGAAATTTTTGCAAGTTCCATCTCGTGACCTTTGATGACCTTGACCTTTATTGGGTCAAAGGTGACTGACCTTGGCTATCAGTTGATGCTTTCATATTTGACCTCTGTTCTGTTTTGCCGATGGAAATTGACGATAATCCCAACTAGCACCACGTGCGCAGTCCTAGGAATATGCTTACGATAATAAAATAAATGTGACATGATAAAATTCTTGCTTGCATTTGTACTCCTGTAATCTTACGCATATAGATTTAACATAAATATCAAAATAAAAATACTTATTAGATGGATCAGATGCGCTATATGTGACACTTTTAGAATGTTTTCAAAAGATAAATCAATAAATGTTTATAAAACAGCACATGTTTGCATTTTCAAAGTTTGATGACTCATATCTAGTGACGTTGATCTTACATGACCTTCCCCTTAACATGGTCATAGGTCATTGACCTTGAAAATCTAATCATACTTTCATATTTTATGTCTGGCTTCAACTTCCGCTTTCATAACCTTCCAAAAAAGCGAAATTTTCAAAAAAATTTACTGCTTTAGCACCTGACCTAATTGGCTAAGAACGTTGATTTTTTTCAGATTCTTTAGCATATTAGCACAAGAGCAAAGTCCCACTCAGTACCACGAGTAGTCCCAGTTTTGTTATCGAATTGTCAATTCTTTTCTTTTTTTGCATTGTTTTGCAAATGTTTTTTTTGTGGGACTTTGTCCCAGTTTGTTATCGAAATGTCAATTCTTTTTTTTTTTTTTTTTCCGAAATTTACACACCTTCCTGAGCTTAGACTACAAAAGTTGCAGCAACCATTCAACATTCACGAACCTTAGATATAGGCGACGATGTGCATAAGTATATTTTGGATCTTTTTTGCAAAACCGGAAGTGCAACAGTTCAATATGTGCAAGAATAGAAAATCGGCTCTAGAAGTCGTATTTTTCAGTCGATTTTCTTTGGGTTTGCATTTTTGGAATCGACTGTTAAAATCTGAAAGAATAGCACTTTCAAAATTTCAAAATTCGAAAATTTGTCGCAGACATTGTTTTTGCCAAATTTTGCATTTTTTTCATTTTTTTTGCTTTTGTCTGATTAATCTGAAAAAAAAAATTAAGCAAAGACAGTTCCAGAAAGTAACCAAAATGGTACAGTCAAATTTTCAACATCGAAAATCGATTTTCACTTCCGGTTCAATAACTTCCGGTGTAATTTGTAGAGCTCAAAAATTTTATGCTGATAAGTAGAAAAAGCTATGACAAAAAAACGAAGAAAAAAAAAATCCGGAGCAGACGTGAAACTTTGGCCGCCATTTTGATTTTTCTACAATGATTCGATTTTTATTCAGACATAACGGTTTATCGGATTTAAATGAATTTGGTGTCAAATGAAAGAAGATAAAAAAAACAACATGATACTAGGAAGCCGTTTTTCGATTTTCGATTTTGCTTTTTTACAACTTCCGGTTGAATTTTCTCAAACTTTGAAGGGTCATATCTCGTGATCTTGACCTTTGATGAACTTGACCTTTATAAGGTTAAAGTTCATTGACCTTAGTTCATAGAGCCTTTGGACTGCTCTAGCACGTGACCTAATTCACCTAGAGGGTTAATTTTTTCGGATTCTTAATGTGCTTTTCAGCGATATATAACAATTATTTTTTAAAGCAAAATTGAAATTCGCGAATTTTTCAAATTTGAGTTATTTTTTACAATATTTCTGTCTCTTTGAGCTTGGTGTGTATATATCTTATGACCTATTTGATGTACAACAATGAAACTTGGAACACAAGAAGACAAAAGTAATTGAGGTGGGCGTGGCACATCCGGGTTAAATTACTTATTATTGACATTTTTGGCAAGGGACATAACTGGCAAGGTATAAATTTGTTCAAAATGGAACTTTGCATACAATTACTTCATCTGTTGAGCCACGTTGTCTTAGAAGTTAGATTGTTTCGGCTTTATAATTCAAAAAAATGAACAGGATTTGAAAATTCAAAATTTTCAAGTTTTGATCTTGACCTTTTTTGACCCTGACTTTTGTAGGATCCAAGGTCATTCACGTTGGCTATCTATTTATACTTGAATATTTGCTGTCCTATCTCAACTTCCGGTTTTATAGCCGTATATATTTTAAAATTTTGATGACTTGTATCTCGTAAACTTGACTTTTGTTGACCGTCTCCTTTTCAATGTCAAATATCATTGACCTTGGCTATCTTCTGATACTTTCATTTGTGAGGTCTGTCTACTTCCGGTATAACATTCTTCCAAAGAATCAAAACTTCTCAACTTTAGACTGTTCTTGCACGTGATGTAATTATCGTAGAAGGTTGATTTTTTCAGAGTCTTTTCCATTTTGCTACATTTGCACGTGTGGCTCTAGTTGTGGGACTTTGTTATCGAAACGTCAATTCCTTTTCAAGCAAAGGCTGTAACAGCTGCATCAACATTACTACATGTGTAGACCTTCTTTAGTGGCAACGTCGTAAATGAGTGTATTTGGGAACATTTTTGCAAAACCGGAAGTGCCACAGGTCCACATGTGCAAAAAGCCGAAAATCGGCTCTTTTCTTCGGGTTTTCATTTTTACAATCTACCTGTTATTTCTGACCTGATAGCACTTGAAAAATTGCGAAATTCGAAAATTCGTAGCTCAATTTTTTCGATCAAATGTTTCCATTTGTTTGCAACTTTTTTGTTTTTGAATCGATTGATCTGAAATTTAATATGCAAAAGGGCATCACTAAAGTAAATAATATGTAGTTGTCAAATATTTAACTTTACTTCCGGTTTTAAACGGGGAATCAATTGCAAGTACAATCCACTTCCGGTCGAATAACTTCCGGTGTAATTGAAATAGGTCAACGAAATTTATGCTGATCGTAAGTAAATGCTATTACAAAAAAACGAAGAAAAAAAATCCAGACCGGAAGTGATACTTTGGCCGCCATATTGAAAAAACACACTTTTGTAAAACTCAAAATGGGGCCTCAGAGTAAATGTTGATATGCTCAAATTTGATGTGAATGTATTCCGCAATCGATTGCGCAAAAAACATTGCGAGCCGAATTTTGAATTTCGCTTTTGCTTTTTTGCAACTTCCGGTTGAAATTTGTTCATGCTTTAAACGATCACACCATGTGACCTTGACCTTTGATAACCTTGACCTTCACTTTACATAGATATAGAATAATTGCTTTTTTAAAGCAAAATTGAAATTCGTGATTTTTTCAAATTTGAGTTTTTTTTTACCATATTTGTGTCTTTTTGATCTTGGTGTATGTATATCTTATGACCTATTATATGTAGAACCTTGATATTTAGAATACAACTAGACACTTTGAATATGAATTCACCTATGACAAAAAAATTGGGGTGGGCGTGGCACATCAGGGTAGAATTACTAATTGTGTACATTTTGGGGCTGGGGCATAACTCGCATAGGATACGTTTGTTAAAAAGGGGACTTAGCACACAATTACCTCATCCTTTTGGTCAGTTTGTGTTAACAGCTCAGTTGTTTCAGGTTTATAGTTCAAAAAAAGGAACGGGTTTTAACATTTGGATATTTTCATTTTTCGATTTTGACCTTTGTTGACATTTGTTGACCTATATCTTTTGACCTGAATAATGTAGAAGCTTGAAATTTGAAACACAACATAACATTTGGAATATTAATTACCCTATGCAAAAAAAATTAAGGTGGGCGTGGCACATCCGGGTTATATTCATTATTAACATTTTTGGCTAGGAGCATAACTCGCAAAGTATACGTTTGTTCAAAATGGAACTTTGCATACAATTATCTCATGTTTTGTGCCACTTTGTCTTAGAAGTTCGGTTGTTTCCGCTTCATAGTTTAAAAAAAAAAGGAACAGGTTTTAAAAATTCAAAATTTTCAATTTTTGACCTTGACCTTTGTAGGATCAAACGTCATTGGCATTGGCTATCTATTTATACTTTTATATTTACTGTCCTATGTCCACTTCCGGTTTAATAGTCGTGTGCAATTAGAAATTTTGATGACGTATATCTCTTGATCTTGACCTTTTTAGACCTTCTCCTTTACAAGATCAAAGGTCACTGACCTTGGCTATCGGCTGATACTTTCATTTGTGAGGTCTGACGTCTACTTCCGGTATTAAAATCTTCTAAAAAATGAAAATTTCTCAACTTTAGACTGTTCTTGCACTAGATCTAATTATCGTCGAAGGTTGATTTTTTCAGTGTCTTTTGCAATTTGCTACATTTGCAAAGCCCCACTCTAGATTTTTTTTTTGAATTCTGGTCAGAGCGCCCATCCAAAACTATACATGCCATATAAATACTGTCAACATTTCTCCCGTTAATGCCGCGAGACTAAATTTTGTTCCAACCGGAAATGACGTAGAACAAAATCCATTTTTTACGTTTTTGCTCATTTTCGGCTCCAATTTTGATCGGATTTTGATCGATCTTTTCGCGCTAACGGCTATAAGTTAGCAATTTAAAAATTCTAAAATTTAAACTTTTGTCGCTGACTTTTATAGTTTCAATTTTTGAGGTTTTTCACTTTTTTTCTAACTTCTACAATTTTATTTCGATCGATATGAAAACTTACAGATAGTTAGATGATTTGATTGCAAACTATAATTAATTTTCAAAGTTTCGATATCACTTCCGGTTTTGACGTTATTCGCTCCTAAAGTTCAAATTTTAACTTCCGGAATTTTGCAGATATTTGAAAAATTCTTTCCTGCAATTAGTTAGAGTAGTCCCCATTAGGATGTTGAAATAAATAAATTCCACCCGGAAGTATAGGGTCAGACGCCATCTTGATAAACCTAATTTTTATAAAACTCAAAATGGGGCCTTAGGGGTAAAGCAGATGTGTGTGATGTCAAATTTTGACTTCTGTCGCCGACTTTTTGAAATTTTATTTAGAGCCTTTTTCAAACTTCCACAACTTTTTTGCGATCGATCTGAAAATTTACATGTAAATGGACATTTTGATTGTGAACAAAAATCTGCTTTCAAAATTTAGATATCACTTCCGGTTTTAACGTCATTCGCCCCCAAACTTGAAATTTCAACTTCCGGAATTTTGTAGATATTTAAAAAATTCTTTTTGCAATTAGTTATAATTGTCCCCGTAAAAAATTTTGAATGAAAAAATTTGACCCGGAAGTATTGGGTAAGACGCCATCTTGATATGACTAATTTTTATAAAACTCAAAATGGGGCCTCAGGGTAAAATTGGATGTGGGTACACTTGATGTTTATGTAAACTGCAATCGATTGCTAACAATACATGGGAAGCCGATTTTTGAATTTTGGCTTTGTATTTTTTTTATTTCCGGTTTTATGTTTTCAGTAATTGTCAAAAATATTAAGGCTCATATCTAGTGACTTTGACCTTTGGTGACCTTGTGACCTGCACAAAAATTGTTGCTATTGACGAGATCAATCCGATAATATCTCCACTTTTGTTGTGCATCGTTAACTTCCGGTTCTACAGCCATTGGAAAATCGTGATTTTTAACTTTGAAGAGCTCTGTCACGTGACCTACTTTATATACGACAAAATTTCTTATATATTTTTAAAGTGCATGATCTCTCCTTTTTGGTGATATATCACACTTCATATTTTGATCAAATTTGCGCGTTTTAAAAATTTTAAATTTTGTACTGACTTCTATAGTAACTGTGCGTAAATTCACGGTGTCTATAATCTACCGACAGTCACCGTTGCCTTAAAAACTACGAATATCTCATGATCTAATGATTGTAAACACTTGAAATTTTGAACATTATTTAACAATGTACACATCATTACAGACAAATTAAAAAATTTTAAGTGGGCGTGGCGCATTCGCTGTGTATTTACTTTATCTGTAATATTTGCAATTGTCATAACTCCATAAGTTTCCAAGTGTTACCTTTGAAATTTTGCATGAAAATAGATCACTACATAGTACAATTGGTGATAAGATTACAGTTGTTTGCGTTCTTTACTTTAAAAAAGGGAATAGGTGTAACACATAAGACTATTGTTGGTATGAAAGGTTTATTGGCATGGTAATGGTTGATTAAAACATAGAATACATAAATTAACTTGGCCGTGTGGTATAAAGGTAAACCACCCCCTTGGTTGTTGAGCTGGAACCTCCTCTATTCAAAGGGGTCTCCTGGTTTTATTAAGCTTCAGGGATAATCCTGGTTTCTTATTGGTCAACACGTAAGCGCCCCTAATCTAGGAACCTGATTGGATGATAAGACTTATTTGGCCAAAGGACTGACCATGTGACATTATTGACATAATGTATAATCTTTTATAACAATTACTAGTAACTTAATTAATGAGTTATATCTGGACAAAGAGTTATTGTTGTCAAAGACAAAAGTTGCTCAAGGCTGTGAAATATTACATAATATGAATCCCTTTGACTAAACAATTTAATTTCAAGTGGCTGGAATGTTAATTAATAAGTTTGACACGTATTGTCATTCCTAATGCATTTTGCAACATTCCTTCTATTCTTTACCAATTTAAGCTGCAAAACAGCTTAAATTAATGACTTAAAAATTGGGTTAGACGAGTTGTACAACCACCGATGTAAATATAATATATATATATGTATATAAAAATATAAAAAAATGTCAATAGAATGAATTGTCTCATTATGAGTTAACGTATATACACGAAATTAAAAATACACAATATCCATAATCGTACTGTCCGTATAAAACACCACATCCATATAATTCCAAATTGAAAAACTGGAACACGAATAAACTCACACAATTCGAATAATAACACATACATATAATTCCATATCGAATAACTGGAACATGAATAAACTCACACAATTCGAACAATAACACATCCATATAATTCCATATTGAATAACTGGAACATTAATTACTGGAACATAAAAACTGAAACATTTGGTAAAATTAACCAATCATAACGGGAACATGAAAACTGGAACATTTGGTAAAATTAACCAATCATAACTGGAACACGAAAACTGGAACATTTGGTAAAATTAACCAATCATAACTGGAACACGAAAACTGGAACATTTGGTAAAATTAACCAATCATAACTGGAACACGAAAACTGGAACATTTGGTAAAATTAACCAATCATAACTGGAACATGAAAACTGGAACATTAAAACTGCAACACTTGGTAAAATTAACCAATCATAACTGGAACATGAAAACTGGAACATTTAAAACTGGAACATTTAGTAAAATTAACCAATAACATCACGTGGCTAATTGTAGAGTCGGGTAAATATGTTTCACCATTCCTTCTTTTACCATTTCTTCCTCTAGTATTAAAGGTGTAGGGGTAGTGTTCTCCCTGTCTTGCGTATTTCCGCTTACAGCTTTAGCTGACACCCACTTACGTATGACCTCATACTTAATAGCGTCACCTTCTTTGTTCATGTACCGTTTGGCTGAGATTTGGAGTTTAGATTTGATACAATAAACGATTAACATTAAAATAAAAGCCACCCCAGTGAAACTGCCTATCCCTGTTGACAAAAGATGCCAATGTGCCCATGGTTTGTCCTTAACTGAAAGATCATTGAGTTTATGGAGTTGGTTAATAAGAGATTTGATTGGTACTTTCTTTAGTCCGCGAAGATGGTCCGGTAGGGACGGGATTGAAGTATTTGGAAACGCGGAGCGCAATGGTTTCCATAACTGAATCGTTGATAGTTTAAAACGATTTTTTAGATTTTGAAATGCGTGTTGAGAATGGAAACGACTTTCTCTTTGAAAATAAGGCGAAAGAGTGATGTGTGCATTTGAAGCTGAACAGGTCATGTTGAGTTTGATTAATTCAAGAGGAGATGGGCAGTAATTTGATTATTAGAGTAGTGTTTGTTATAACAAACCAAGGTAAAGTGGATGGGGGAGGTGGTGAACAATAAGGTTAAAATTATTTAAAATATTATCTACATAAGGGGAAGCTTAATTATTGTCGAGCATGCCAAGAATGCCCGAAAGTAAATTTTTTAAATCTGTGCTCTTAGTTTGGGATTCGCTTGTCTTGTCAATTGTAACTGAGTTAACAGTGCCATCACTGTCTGGGTCTGTTTGAGATCCAGTTTCCATTGTCGTCAACTTAACGACCGGATCTATAGGCAAGTGTGTATTCACCAGAGTATCAACCTCCATAGTTTCGACCGGAGACGATTGTTGTGGCGGAGATCGAGTAGCGCGAATACGATTTGCTAATTCCATAAGGGGTATATCATCTTCCGAAGATGAATCTTCGCGAGTGCGGCGAGATGCCTTGACTAAATCAAAGGAGTCCTCGTCCTCAACATCACCTTCATCACTGGAAGATACGCTTGAACTTTCGGGAGGTACGACGTAGTTAGCATTTCACTGCGGGTGTCCGTCGGCAGGCGGGGGAATATCCCAGTTCTCAATATCAGCGAGGCGCAAATGTTCGGCATGTGATTTAGTAGTAGTGCCATCTAATTGATTTTTTATAATGAATGAAAGTGGCGAAGTTTGTTCTATAATTCTATAGTAGGGTTTCCATTTACCCTGAAGTTTACTGGTACGTAAATGATTTTTAACATAGACTGGGTCACCAACTTGAAAGTTAACGGATTTAGCGTTTTTATCGGCGTACCGTGCTTGTCGACGTTTTGCTTTCTTGAGATTTTGGTGAACTAACATTTATGTTGATTTACAAGCGCAATTTTGTGGAAATCTTCTCCGAGATATTTCCGTCTTGGTTTCAGCAAATTATCGATAGGGAGCACGACATCGCCATTGTACACTAGATAAAATGGAGAGAATCGAGAAGATTCACTTATATTAAATCGAACGGCAGCTAAAGTCTGGTTGAGGTATAAATCCCAAGTATCCAGTGCATTTTCCATTTTCTTGGAGAGAACGTCATGAAGGGTTCTATGAAAGCGTTCGACTTGAGCATTACTCTGCGGGTGGTAGTATGAAGTAGTAACATGACTTATGTTTAATTCGGCTAACGTTTCGTGCATCATTTTGTTCTCGTTTTCCGTACCATTATCCGTGACTAACTGAAGAGGCGTTCCATAACGAGGAAAAATTTCTTCTAAAAGAAGATGAGCGACATTTGCGGCAGATTTATCTTTGACTGGGAAGGCTTCAGGCCAACCACTGTACCAGTCGACAAAAGAAATGATGTACTTATTTCCAGAGAGAGAAACGGGATAAGGACCAGAAAGGTCAAGCGAGATTTTTGCAAATGGGTAGGGGGGGATGTCCGTTTCCTGGAGTGGAGGTTTTATTTTCTTAAGTGATCGCGTTTGACATGGCACACACTGAGAGACATATTGATAAATATGTTTGTATAAATTAGGCCAATAATATTTTTGAGCAATCATGCTGTATGTTTTATCGATACTTAGGTGAAATAAGTTATGATATTGTTTTAGAATTTCGTTTTTTAGGTGCACGGGAACATATAGCCAAGGAGTAGGTTCGCTATCTCCGTGAGAAAGGTAATAAAGAACATTATTGATAAGCAGGTACTTGTTGTGAATTGAAGGTACTTCTTTGTCGCTTTTTAACTGCGAGATAAGTTTAGAGATTTCTTTATCTTTAGCCTGTTCTTGAGGCATATCGTAACCTTCAATACTGATATCTTCATCAGGGTTGGTCGATTCAGGGATTACCTCACATTTCGCAAATTCTTTTGGGTTGAATTTATTAGAATTGATTGCATTAATTTCAAAGGTGTGATCATTGATATCGGGTTCTTCAACTTGCACTACGGGATCTGACTTCGGATTTTGGGACATGCGGCTAAGGAAATCAGCAATAACATTTTGTTTCCCTGGGAGATACTCGATTGAGCAATTATATCCAGTCATGTTAAGGGACCACAGTTGTATTTTCTTATTTTGCATTGGCGAATTCAGAATATATTTCAAAGGTTTATGGTCCGTCCTAATCACAAATTGGGCATCATGCAGGTAATAATCAAATTTTTGTAGAGCGTAATGGATGGCAAAGCATTCTTTTTCTATAGTAGACCAACGGGTTTGAGTATCGGATAATTTATGCGAAAGAAGATAAATAGGGGCTTCGAATTCCTCGCCATCAGCAGCTGTTTGAGTTTGGACTAAACAAGCTCCGATACTATAGTTACTTGCATCAGTATAAAGTGTATATAGTTTGTTAGGGTCTGGGTAGGTTAACAGAGGTATAGAGGTAAGATGATCTTTTAATTTCTGAAACGCTAAACTACGTGCCGCATTCCATTCGAATTTAACATGTTTTCTCGTTAGGTTGATGAAGGGTTCCGCGATTTTTGAAAAATTTGGAATGAACCGGCGATAATATCCACACATCCCAATGAAACTGCGAATATCTTTAACTGTGCGTGGTTCCTGCAAGTCATTTATCGCACGGACTTTTTCGGGGTCGGGCTTGATACCGTTTGGAGTAATGATGAATCCGAGATAGTTTGTTTCCTTTTGGAGGAAGTTACATTTCGACAATTTTAATTTTAGGTTATGCTCTCGAAGGCGATTAAAAACTTGGTTTATATGAGAAAGATGTTCTTCTAAAGAAGAAGAAAAAATGAAAATATCATCAAGATAAGCTATTGCGAAAGCGTTGAGGTCTTGAAGAACGACCTGCATTAAATTCTGGAAAAAACCTGGAGCGTTAGCAATTCCAAAAGGCATTGTGTTAAATTCAAATAATCCACGGTGACAAGTAAACGCGGTCTTTTCGCGATCGTTTTCATCCATAAGGATTTGCCAATAACCCGATTTTGAATCCAATGTGGAAAAATAAGATTTATTATGGAGCTGGGAGAGAATGTCATCAATCAAAGGTAGCGGGTAGGAGTTGGGTTTAGTGATTTGATTGAGTTTCCGGAAATCGACACAGAAACGTTTGGAACCGTCTTTTTTTTCCTACGGTGACAATTGGAAAACTCCATGGCGATTGAGATGGGCGTATGACATTTGCCTCGAGCATCTCGTCAATGGCGGTATCGACGGTGGCTCGCTGGTTAATTGGGGTTCGATATGGTCGCATTTTAATCGGTGGATGAGAACCAGTATTGATTTGCATTTTGATAGTCTCCGTTTGAGTTAAATCTAAATCCGTTTTTGCAAATAAGTCGTCATTGTTTGAAAGAAAATCTTGCATGGTGGAGCGATGTTCCTCAGGGACATTAATGTGATCAAAATTATTATTTGGGGTTGACTGGTGATCCATAGAGGAGATTTCATTTATGGACTTAACACAACCGGATTCAACATTTTCGACACGACCTACTTTACATCCTTTACGCAAATAAAAGGGTCGATTAGTGGTATTAGTTAAAGCGAGCGTAAATTTATTATGTTTTTTCGCGACATTTAAACTATTATTTAAAGTTAATCCCGGGTGATGGCTAATAAACCCATGATCTACTGGAGTGATTTCATATAAGCTAGAAATTGTTAAATTCGCAGCATTTTTTACTTTAGCGGCACACAATGATTGCTGAGGGTTGATTTTGACAGGAGTTGTTAAACGAAGTATAGAAGATATGTGCGCGTCCTGGACTAACGGTACATACTCATTATTGTCACGTAAACAACCTAAATCGTAGTACAAACGAACAATCACGACCTAGTATAAAATTCCTATTTATATTAGAAACAACATAAAATTTGTGTGTTAACGCGGTATTACCTAACCGAAATGGCAAATTAATAAATCCATGAATGATTAAAGACCCTCCGTTTACAGACTGTAATCCTATATCAGTCTGGTGCAAGCTTGGTTTATTTGGAAGCTTAGTATATACTTTGTGATTTATGATACTACAATCGGCGCCACTATCAATAAGCGAGTGGTAACGCTGATTACTCAGTTTAAGAAGACAAGAACTTGGATTTTGAGATAAATTTAAATTGAAAATTGGCATATTATTTGATGAGCTCTTTTCATTTGCTTCAACATGAAAAGAGCTTTTTAGTTTAAATGTTGATTAGGGTACTGATTAGGGTAGTGAGAATGGCGTCTTTGATTAAAAGTAGGGCGAGAAAATTGTTGACGGGAGGGAGGCTTGAAGGAACAGTTGCGACTGATGTGTCCAGTATTATTACAAGTCCAACATACAATTGACCTATTCGGATGAGAAAAGGAGGAGTTCCTGTTGTTGGGTTGATAAGACCTTTCGGGGGGACTGTTATTTCGATCGTTTTTAGAAAAGGCATTTACATGGCCGCTTGGGCGCTGATTTGAGCGACAGTCATTTGTCCTATGGCCGAAACGATTACAATTAGAGCATCTGCGTTGGGGTCTTACATGATCAACTTCCATGGGTTCATGAGAATATGCATTGTCGACAGGAAATGCGTCAGATCTAAGAGCAAAGCGTGACCGAATATTTTGTTCTCCCATGGCACTTACAACGGCACCTTGTAGAGTAGCTGGATTTTCTCTCATTAATTTGAGTTTGAGGTAATCTTTAGTTAATCCGTTGAGAAATACTGTGATAGGCTGTCTTTGGACAGGGACAAGGTCAATTTCAGTGGAAGAATAAGCTTTAGTAGCTAACGTCAATAGTCTTTCCGCAAATATTTGCACATTTTCCTCGCTCTTTTGCCTAGCAGTTTGCAATACAACAAGGGCATGTTGTGCATCAGTTATGGTATCAAAGCGCGTCGCTAATTCCCGTTTTACTTCGGTCCAAGAACTATAGGGGTTTTCAGGTAAAAACCTGGCCAAAAAATCGCTTACTGTACCCGAACTTGATTGGTAAGCTATATATTTGATTTTAGCATCTGGTATGTCAGCTAATAAAGCATACTTTTCAATACTTTTCATCCAATCGGAATAATTTTTAGGGTCGCCGGAAAAACGTTCCACGAGGCTGGAAACTCCATGATGTTTCAATGTAGTGGACAAACCAACTAATTCCCCAGTTAAATTTTGGAATAACGTACATATCTCAGACTCCATAGCCATGATACAGAACAAAAGAAGAATGACTTACCTCGTATTTCGGTCACTTGTAGTCAGGTTGTCCACTAATTGATTTTCGGATGTCGAAGGATTTACATTGACTTCACGTTGTGAGACTGGTCACTGGCATCAATTTAGTCATATGTAACACATAAGACTATTGTTGGTATGAAAGGTTTATTGGCATGGTAATGGTTGATTAAAACATAGAATACATAAATTAACTTGGCCGTGTGGTATAAAGGTAAACCACCTCCTTGGTTGTTGAGCTGGAACCTCCTCTATTCAAAGGGGTCTCCTGGTTTTATTAAGCTTCAGGGATAATCCTGGTTTCTTATTGGTCAACACGTAAGCGTCCCTAATCTAGGAACCTGATTGGATGATAAGACTTATTTGGCCAAAGGACTGACCATGTGACATTATTGACATAATGTATAATCTTTTATAACAATTACTAGTAACTTAATTAATGAGTTATATCTGGACAAAGAGTTATTGTTGTCAAAGACAAAAGTTGCTCAAGGCTGTGAAATATTACTTAATATGAATCCCTTTGATCTAGGAGCTGTCTAAACAATGACAATGGACATTTAATTTCAAGTGGCTGGAATGTTAATTAATAAGTTTGACACGTATTGTCATTCCTAATGCATTTTGCAACTATAGGTTTAACAATTTTAATTTTTGATCTTTAACATAAATGACCTTGACCTTTGCATGGTCAAAGGTCATTGACTTAGGATGGCCATTCTTACTTTGATCTTTGATGCCCGATATATACTTCCGGTTTTGCAGACGTCCGAAAACAGCAATTTTCGAAACTTCAAAGGCTCATATTACTTTTATTTGACCTTTGTTGACCTTTTGACCTGAACAAAAGTTGTTACCCATTTCGAGATATATCCGATAATATCTTCACTTTTGTTGTGCATCGTTAACTTCCGGTTCTACAGCCAACTGAAAATCGTGATTTTTAACTTTTAAAAAGATCGGTCACGTCACCTAATTTACATACGTGAAAATTTCTCTTATGTCCTCATTACACGCAATCTATTCTTTCAAATGATATGTAAGACTTGGTATTTTGATTAAAATTGCACTTTCAGAATTTGAAAATTTTGTATTGACTTCTATAGTATCTGTGCATAATTGTAAAGGTGTCTATAATCCACTGACAGTCACCGTTGCCTTAAAAAAACTTTTAAATGCGAATATCTCATGATCTAATGATTGTAAACATGATTTTGAACATTATTTAACAATGTACACATCATCACAGACAAATTAAAATTTTATCTCACATTGTACACATTATTAGAGACAACACAAAATTTTTGCAGTGGGCGTGGCAAATCCGGGTTACTTTTACCTTTACCTTAAATAATTCAAAATGTTATAACTCGCAAAGTTTGCATTTGTCACCATAGAAATTTTACATAAAATTAAAGCACTATTTGGGACAATAATTGATAAAGTTACATTTTGTTTGGGCCTTTTACTTTAAAGAAGGGAATAGGTTTTACAATTTATAAAATTTTGATATTTTGACCATTTACATGCATGACCTTGGTTTTTAGAAGGTTAAAGGTTATTGATCTACGATGTCCATTCATACTTTTATCTTTGATGTCTTACATATATTTTCGCCTTTACAGACGTCCCAAAACAGCAATTTTCAACACTTTTAAGGATTATATCTCTTTTATTTGACCTTTGTTGACATCTTGACCGTAACACAAGTTATTGTATCTGACTTTACAGCTATTTGAAAATTCGACTTTTTACTACCGAATGTTGACACCTTTTAGTACCGAATGGTATCAAATCCACGCGTCTTTTCACTACCGAACGTTAAACGGTTTAAAGAATTTTTTTTTTACTATTGAATGTTTACATGCTTTTCTTTCCGGTAAGAAATCCCATTGTAACTTTAAAAAGCAACGTGTTATCGATGTATCAGGTTGGATGCGCACTGCTTCGATACCGTTATAATGGTTCTAGTTTTTTTTTGTCTACGTTCAGAAACAAAAAACTCGTTACATCTTCCCAAGTGCCGGATTGGGGCCATGAAAAGAACATTCAAATACAAGGCTGGAATTCATTACCTCAAGTACTTCAACAATCTAATGATGAAGAGGGTTTTAAGACAGGACTGAAAAGGGAATTACGATCATAATATGTAATTGTGTGTCTAATAGTACTATATTTTCTCTTCATCTTTGATAACCAAAGGAAAATATTACCTCAATTAATTCATTTTATTTTATGTGTTAATCACATTATTATCGCAACCATACATTTTCATATATTCATTTATTTTCATTCTTATTTTTTGTTTATAATTTTGTAAATATGTTATTGTAGTTTTATGTAGAAAGATTCCAGGAAAGATTGCCTTGTGCAACTGGGTTTCTAATAAAGGTATTATTATTATTATTATTATCCTTACAACGAAAAAGATGAATTTACTTTGGATGAAAACTACGAAATCGACGATTTCGATTACCTGACTCAAGAAGAAAACGAAGACTGATTCAAATGAAGTCTTTGATTTCCAGATTTATATCTTTGATCATGAAAGAATTGACTGGTAATTAGGTCGTTTGGAACGGTTTCTCTATAATTCTATATCCGGTGGCACCGTAAAAGTCGGTATACTGTATATGATTTGGCGTTTGTGCTTGTTGAAAAATCCACCGTTGATCAAATTACAGTGAATGTTAATCACGTCGATGTCGTTCTCGATGGTGGCGCCAATGTCGATTTGCGCGTATATTCATTTATCCAACCCTAGTAACGCATTCAACGAATTTTCTACGTTGAAATCGACTTGACTGTTATTTCTCAAGATCAGTTTTATTTTGTTCAGATTCAAATTACCTTCGAATTCGATTTTGTTTTTACCGTTCACGCTTCCTGCGTATTCGGATAGGTATTCGTTGAATGCTACGTATTGGACATTTTTAATGACATTTATATAGTCTTTTTTAGTGATGATTTTTTTTCTTCAAAAGCCGTTTTAATATGCAATTGACTTCATTGTAGTGTCTGCCCGATCGATGACCTTCTTTCATGGCTGCTAATATAATTTGTAATCTATTAACTAATTCCTCGTTGTTATCTGGTAAAATGTTATACCTTGCCCAGAAATCATATTTTCGAATTCGTCTATTTCTTGTATGATTGGATTGTTTTCAGCATAAATCACCCGCTTCGTCAACTTCATATTCATCATCTTGATCAATAACTCTTATATGTAGATCAACTGCTTTCGATCTTCTTGTTTCGGGTCCTGACTTTCTAATTGAAATTTTGAGTATGCTACTAAATCCTTGCGATCGGCAATGCCAACATCCTCGCCATTCATTAAATCTATTAATCCTTTTGTTAATGTGTATATAAAATCTTTTGTATCGATTTTAAATTGTGATGAATTTCGACTAAATCTTATTCTAAATCCATTAAACAATAGCCCCTCATCATCAACGATTGGTGTAACTCTTTGGTAAATCTGGGTCAGGGTTTGAAAAAAGTCGATTTATATCATCTAATGTCCTAATTATAATACCACCATATTTAATGAGTTTGGGGGATCTATATGGGGGAAAGTTTCTATACGAAGCGTGCCTAATTTCTTTTTAATATCCTCTTGAATTTTTAATATTGGTTGAAATAGAGTTTGTAGATTTTCTGTTAATCCAAGTTGTTGTAATTTTTTATTTTCAACTTGGGTCTTTATTTTATTCTTAGCTTTGATATATTCTCTATTTCTTTTTAAAATATTATTCCAATCGCTATTCATTTTTAAAAAAATAAAATTAACATATGTCGATCATAACTCTTTCTCCCGCAGGTTTTCTAGTATTAACAAATACATATCCATGATCATCCGGGTTTCTCCATTGAGCTTTACAAACCTTTTTAAATGTATCTCTGTCCATTCCGTGATTTTCTAGATTGAATGATTTGAGATAAATCTTTGTCGTCTAATTCAAATAATAAAAACCATTTTGCGTTGTTTCTGATAAACATGGCGTCCATTCCGTAGAACGATTGGGATTGGTATATGCAGTGACAATTGTGATGTCTACCTTTCGTGAAGAATTCTTGTTGAACGGTTTGACTTTTTTGTGCCACGCAGTTGTCAAAGACAATCAAGTTCTTTCGGTGGTTGTCGATTTTAGACAAGTTTAAATCGTTGACGTTTTTAGTCAGAAACACTTTGACGTCGGTCGGTTTCAGAGAATGATTCTTTTCTTTGATAAAGCCGTCTAAAATGTCTTTTATTTCCGCGTTCTCTTGCAAGTCTTCGTTGCTTTGGTAGTAGTGAAAAATGTCTTGAACGTCTTCTTTCGAGACGTATTCCAAAGCTTTGAGAAACTGATAATAGGATTGTTCGGGAGTAGTCGTGTAACTCGAAATCTAAAAGGTTCGGGGTTGTCAACATGTTAAAAGTGAGGCAAGTCTTTCCACAACCCGGAGATCCGCAAATGCACATGAGCATGGGGTTGCTAGGAAATATTTCCGAATGTTTGAATTTCTTGCCCATTTTTATTTAATACATTTTCGTACCAAAAATCACCCCGTTGCCTTTATACTTTGAAAGAAAGATTCCCTCGCCCAAACGTACGTTTTTAAAAACTATGGGGTTGCCCTTGTGTTTGACTTTTATTTCTCCGGTGTCGATATTATCTATTAATTTGCTTAATCCCTGTTAAACGGTTTTCTTGGTTTCTTGGCCCAATCCGAACTCTTTAACCGTCCCTAATATATCTCCTACTCTCGAACCTCCTCGTGCTTCTCTTTCCATTGCCAAATTGTGTCCACGTGCGTTGGCGTTTGCAGCAGCTTCAGCTTTCTTATCGTTGACAGCTTTGGCTATCCCAGCAGCCACACCAGCTGCAGCTAAACCAGCAAAGATTAAAGGTAATAAAGGTATAAATCCACATTTTTTAGTTAAATTCTCATCAATTCTTTCTAAGTCTATATCGTCTCTGACTTTG